CCCCCTCCCCCTCCCCTCCCCTCCCCCTCCCCTTCCCTCCCCTCCCCTCCTCTCTGTCTTTCCCTCCTCCTTCCTATTCTCCTCCCTCTTTCCCTCTCTCCTTCAGATGAATAAAATTATTTAAAAAGTGATGTATTTTTTCAAGCTTATATTCAACATAGTATTTAAAAAGCTTTGAAAATTTTAATCATTCCTGTCTGGCAATTCCCTGCTAGTTATTTTTATACTAAATAGTTCTTAATGACTTTGATAACTTTTTTAAATGGTTCCTGTCAAGAGAGATTTTAAAATACCCGTCTCTTTCCTTTCTGCTTTTGATTCCTACCGCTCCCATGGGAGCCAAATACTCGAATCTGTTTCCATAACAATTTTTCTTTTTCCCTTGCAAGACTATCCTGTTGGTTTGTTGGGGCTGATTTGAATCTTTTCTGAGAGCACTGCAGTGTGTGGATCAGAAAAGCACAGCCTGTCGGAATTAGTGGATTGAGGGCAAAGAGCCACCCGTGGGGCGGGGGTCACCCGTGGGGCGGCCGGTGGCCTCAGATGTGTTTTGTGAGCATGTCCGTGTTTTCTCTGTAGCTGCAGAGGAGCAGCTCAGGATGCTGGGGCAGTTCTGAGCTCCTTTCTCATGGTCTCTTGCAGTGTTCTGGGACCAGCCATGACCTTCAGAGTGAGCGCCAGCGTCCAAAACCTGACGGCGGCAGACGTGGTGCAGGCTACAGGTAAGGCCCTGTCAACACAGCCCCGCGTGAGTACACACACCCCGGGCAGAGACATGCACAGTCTCCCCAGCACCCCGACATCTAACTGGGAGACGGGACGGCCGGGTCAGTGGGCACGGCCGGAGCCTCATCGCCGTGGTGCGGCCCACCCGGCTGCAGGTGGAGGACACGGCTCCCTCCGAGACAGAGGGCAAGGGTCTGGGGTCTGTGGCGGCCCCCAGTCCCCGTATGGACAGAACGGGTGCCTGCTGCTTTTGGCATCCCAGCCAGGCTGTGCTTTTGTCTGTCACAGACCAAGACAGTGCCGGAGGGAGGGCTTAACAGAAACAAGGGACTTCGCCACAGCTTTGCTTTGGAAGCCCTGGTTGCTCCGCTCACCTGTCCTGAGCCCCGGCGAGCCACACCCATACCGTCTGGGGGGGCTGTTGGCCGCGGGGTAGGCGGCTCCCGCGCTCCAGCTAACGGGATAAACTGTCTGCCTTACCTCTTTTGGTTGCTGTTGAATTTTACTTGTCAGATATCTTGGTGCCCTTAGTAACTCTTCCTGCTGAAAGTGCTGATTTCAGGGGCCCGTAGTTTTTGGTTAAGGGAGAATTCCCTGCCACGTTGTACTTCCAGAAACCTGACCAATTTCAGCTCTGAGGAGAGCTGAGTACCCCAGGCTTCACTGCAGTGTCATGTGTCACTGTGAGGCCGGAGCGGTTGGCTGTCACTCAGTGAGCTGTACGGTGTCGTCCCTCAGCACGGCGGCCTGATGCGGCCCCAGCAGATTCCGTTGCAAACACTCTGCCTCCTGAAACAGAGCGGGTTCCGTGTCGGTGGCTCTGATCCCTCCCTCCTTCCCTCCAGCGTCCGTTCTCCCATCCTAGCTGCTCAGCAGAAGGGATTATTGGCCATATTTAAGACCAAACCAGTTCCTATTCTTTTCAGGCAGAAACATTCACAGTTGTTTTACAAGTGGCCGTTCACCCCAGTGCTGGGAAGTAATGCTTTTCTTTTTTTTTTTTTTAAGATTTTATTTATATATTTATTTGAGAGAGCGAGCATGAGAGAGAGAGAGCACATGCGAGGGGGGAGGGTCAGAGGGAGAAGCAGACTCCCCGCCGAGCAGGGAGCCCGATGCGGGACTCGATCCCGGGACTCCAGGATCATGACCTGAGCCGAAGGCAGTCACTTAACCAACTGAGCCACCCGGGTGCCCGGGAAGTAATGCTTTCAAAACTGGATTTGCTGGAACTTCGGGATACAATAATGAATGGAATAGAATGGAAGGAAGTTTTTCCATCTTTGACAATCATGACAGTATACTCACTGACCATAGCCTTCATTTATTTTATTGCTTTCTTGGGAAAATGAGGTCGATTATTTAAAATCTAGTTTCTGGGTCATTTTATTTTATTTATTTATTTTTTAGAGATTTTATTTATTTGAGACAGAGAGAATGAGAGAGAGAGAGAGAGCGCACATGAGAGGGGGGAGGGACAGAGGGAGAAGCAGACTCCCCGCTGAGCAGGGAGCCCGATGCGGGACTCGATCCCGGGACTCCAGGATCATGACCTGAGCCGAAAGCAGTCGCTTAACCAACTGAGCCACCCAGGCGCCCCTCTGGGTCATTTTAAATGTGTTCGTGTTGAATACCAAAGCGCTATATGCCAAGGGGAGATTACCGTCAGACGTATGTTTGAATGTCACAGTAACCACTTTCTAAAGACCTGAGTTTGCTACATTATAGCAGTGTGTTTGTGTTAGCTTGCCAGCTGAGTGCTTGTTGCTCGTCATGCATGAGCAAACGGACAACACACGTGCATAGTTTCAAAAAATTAGTTCTTTTATGTTGTGAATCATTTCAGGATGTTATGAATGTACCTGATGCTACACAGGAAAAAGACGATGAAAGATAACTTTGTGACCATTAGGGTTCTGTAGTTCGGCAGTAGACTTACCACTCTGTAGTGGGCATTGAGGGCCAGGTCCCCAAGGGTGTTAGTACCAGGAGGAGAAATGAGCTCACTGAGCACTAGACTTATTCGTGTGTTAACAAGGAAAGGGATTTTGGGGGGTTTCTTGTTTTCAAAGACGATGTGGAGCCCTTGTCACAAGCTACTGGATGGCGTGGTTGGGGCAGGCCCTGCGTGGGTGGTGCTCAGCACCTGCGGGAACAGGGCCCTCTGCTGGGATTGCTGCCGCAGACCCAGTTGCTGTGGTGGCTTCCCTCGGGGGTTTCCTGGCACCACGCTTGATGCCCTTCTTGGGGTATACGACCGGTGAAAGGGACACAACCCCGCTGATGGAACTTCAAGGGTATTTGTTGGCTAACCTCATGCAAAATGGTACCAAACTTAATAGGCTTGCTGTTAATACCACGTTAGTTCTCATCAAACGTCAGTGGCGTTTGTCCTGACGGGTGGATGCAGCTGGTTCTTGTTCGGAATCTCTTCCTTGTATTACATGATTCTTTTCTGGATTCTACGAACCTCGGCATGAACACAAGGTGCTAGTGAATGCTAAAAGTAAGCAGGCGCTGCACAGGGAGGAGCTTCTGTATTCCCAGGTGCAGAGAAACCCTGGAGTCACCGTGTTTACTGTGTGAGTGTTCAGGGCACAGGTTCACAATCCACATCTGCACACACTACAAGGTGCCCACAACTGGAAGTATAGTAACTGGCACTTCTCATCTTTCTGGCCATATGCCGTCTGATCAAATTGGGCAGAACAGAGAAATGGTTTTCTACTCTTCATTTCCTTGGTAGTTTATTCTCAAGTAGCATATTTCTAATCCGTTTTTGCATTTCTCTTTTCAGAGAAGATATGGTTAAGTCATCTTTTGGGAAAAGCGTTTGCCTTCCCCTGGGCAGCAGTGCACACCCCCCACCCCTGGGTTCCCATGACTCATGGCTGGGAGCTGCCGTGCGCACTCCCTGTCTCCAAGATCACCTGTTCCTACAGCTTCCCCCTCTTGGCACCCTGGGAAAGCTGGGCTTCTGCTCGGTGGCGCGTTCGACTCACTCGCTGACCATGAAGCTGCTGGTTGGCCGTCCTCGGCGGGCACCTCCCTCTCACCTGTGTTGTCAGCTCACGCTTGTCTAAACGAAGCCTCTAAGACTTGCCCTTTGGCTAAAGTTCTTTCTTTCTTCTTGTTGGGGAGACAGCACGTGCCGTTTCAGACGACATCTCCTTACGCAAAGATGTGATGTCTTTCCTCGGGTTCTAGTAACTGGAGCCTGGCTGCTTTCTCATTCACCTGTGAAGCATCTGCAGGAGTGAGCGGGTCTCCTCTCTGCTGTGGTGCTGTCCCGCTTGTGGTTTACACACTGTCTGCACGGGAGAGGGAGAGGTCTCATGGCCTGTGGACTCCCACTCAGGGCTCGTCTCTGGACCCTGAGGCCTCATGAGCGTGTTTCGAGGGTTGGACTCCAGAGTGAGAGATCGGGACAGCTGTGCTCCGTATGCATGATGTTTGACCCCAGAGCCCCCGTGGCAGTGAGTGCTGCCCAGCCTCCTGGACTCCGGGTAAAGGGGGCAGGTGTGTCTATTTTGGAAAGGGTAATGGAGTCCAGCCTGGGACAGTGAAATGAGCCCTTCTATGATGCATACTCAGTTCACCCCTCTGAACTGTTGCTCCCAAGCGAGCATCAGTGCTTCATGCTCATCTAGGTTCTCCCCTGGGCAAGGCACCGTGCAGGCTCTAGGCTGACGCCAACACCCAGAGGACAGCAGTCTGCCCAGGAGGAGCCCGGCAGGTCTTTCAGAGAAATGGACAGAGTGCCCGGTGCCGGGGGTGGGGGGCTTGCCAGATAAGGCTGCACAGAGGAGCTGGCTTGGGCGGCAGCCAGGGATACTCTGGCTCTTAGGGGGCTGGAAGGTGAGGAAAGGTTGGTCACATGAGGGACAGCAAGGAGGGCCAAGGCACAGAGCCCACATACCAGGGACAGGGTGGGGAACGGGGCTGGGGGCTGGAGTCCAAAATCGGTCCCGAATCAGACTTTGCAACGTGGGACTGTGTCTTCAGTGTCTACAAGGAGCCCTCAGGCTTGGCTTCCTGTCGCTGAGGGACTCGGCTTTCCTTCCTGCGACACGGGGCCGGCCGGGGGTCCGCACGCGGTGCCTGTGACAGGGATCCGAAACCTGGAGGCCTCTGGGTCTGGGCAGGGGGAGGGGAGACCTGCGGCTGCATGAGCTGCACACTCGCACTGTGGCCATCTGCCCCGGGCGGCCCATTGCGGGACATGCCACTGGGGTCAGCGAGCGCTCCAGGTGGTGCTGTGCATGTGTCACTGGCCACGTGTGGCCTGGAACCTGTCTGTGGTCATTGCACTCTCGCTGAGGTTTGGACTGGAGCAAATGTTGGATGGGCTAGTGCACCTCAGTGTGGACAGGAAGTTGTGCTTTTCCAGTGAAAAGTAAGGAGGCGGCTCTGGAAATGCTAGAAAAGACCCACTTGATAGGAAGATTTGTGTTCATTTACTGGTGAATGAGATACCTGTGAAAAATAAAAGTGGAAGAGTCCACAGGATCCTACACGCTTCCCTGAGATGTAAAGTTAGAGAATCAGAGGATCTTTAGGTGAAAGGGATGTTGGTGTTCCTCTTCTTTGAGCCCTCATGACACAGATGGGGAGGCTCAGGCCAGAGCAGCCGGTGGGCTCTGTGGTGAGTGAGGCGCGCTGGGGCGGGGCACCCCTGGGGGGCCGCTGATCTGCCTCGCAGGAAGGACGGGCCGGGCCGTTCTGTCATTTCCAGTCAAGCTGGCTGCTCAGAAAACAGCCTTTGTGGAGGTTCCAGGGCGCATCCCGGGAGGTGGGGCTCCCAGTGGCCCAGCTGCTTCGGGCAGGTTCCAGGCTGAGGGGGTGCAAGGCCTGGCTGGCCCACAGGACCCCAGCCGACAGGCAAGGGCCTGCCGGCGAGGTCAGTGGGGAGCATGCTGGCGGGGGACGGTGGGGGAAGGCGGGGCCGCTGCATCAGTGTCCACCAGGCTGTGGAACACTAGAACGTGGCACAGGA